ATGCACTCACTCACACACACACACACACACACACGCACTCTCACACTCACACACACACAATCACTCACACACACACTCACACACACTCACACAATCACACACACACACAATCACTCACACACACTCACACAATCACACACACACAGAGGGTCTGATGTGTGAATGTTTGAGGTCGGTGTGTGTTTGGGACACTTCACGTGCTCTGCTGATGAAGTGCGGTGCAGGAAACACACCAGACTTTATCAATGACTGATTTCCACTCAATGTTGATCTAAGTTTTACGGTGTTCTGCCTGTGTTTGCTGTGTAGGACACTGTTCTGTAGAGAGCAGAAGCCCAGAGGAGAGCTAGTGTACTACAGTGACATCCACCTGCTGACGGTGAGTGTGTGTGTGTGTGTGTGTGTGTGTGTGTGTGTGTGTGAGTGTGAGAGTGTGTGTGCGTGCGTTCGTGTGTGTGTGTGTGTGTGAGTGTGTGTGTGCTGTTTGTGCGTCAGCTATTTAAAGAGAAAGTGATTGTACTCTCTTGTCTCATTTAGCTGCTGTGGGTAAAAACGAGTTGCAAAAAACAAATAATGATTGTGTCCTGAAAACGGCCCCATCTGCCATTGGTTGGCCAAACAGATAGTCCCGCCTCCAATCTCACGCCATTGGTTGATTCAGAATGTTCTAGTTGAACACATAAAACTGCGTCTATGATGCAGGAATTATTAAATCACACACACACACAAAAAAATGTGAAGTTACTTATTACTGTAATAGTTTTTTTATGTTCCATTTTTATGATTTAATTATTTGCTTTTCATCAAACCCTGCTCTAAAACAAGCATATAATCCCAATGTTATTCCCCGAAATAATCTCTGTGTGCCGCTGGTGTCCGTCTGCAGCTGTGGGATGGCGGTAAACGTTTACTCCACGTCGATGACCATCGAGAACCTGAGCAGACATGACATGCTGGCCTGGGTCAACGACTCTCTGCAGCTCAGCTACACCAAGATCGAGCAGCTGTGCTCAGGTGAGCTCCGCTCTGAAACAGCTGTGTGTGTGTGTGTGTGTGTTCCGGCTCTGCTTCGCGACGCTGACCGCTTGTGTTCTTCAGGTGCGGCGTACTGTCACTTCATGGACATGCTGTTCCCCGGCTGTATCCTGCTAAAGAGGGTGAAGTTCCAGGCCAAACTGGAGCACGATTACATCCACAACTTCAAAGTGCTGCAGTCGGCCTTCAAGAGGATGAGCGTGGACAAGGTGAGACGGACACAGCCTTGGAAGTTAATATTTCAATAATTCGCATGCTCGCGGTTCTCTGATGTCGGTTAGTGGTCACATGATATGCAGGGAAACAAATAAAATATTTCATTTTTTATTAGTAAGTGTTTTATTGTATGTTTCTTTTTAGTTGTGATGGTGTATAGGGTTGCAAAAAGGTGGAAAATTTCCAGTAAAATTCCTCTTTTTCAAACCTCCAGATTTTAACATGTTAAATTCAAGCTTTTAATTTTTTCATTTTTATTTATTATTGTCAGACTCTATGTAAATGTGTAAATAAAGTAAACGCTGCGTTCCCAAAACCGGATCATATTGTGTGATTAACATGCAGCATATTATTAACTAAAACAACTATTAAAAACATTTTTGTTTGTTGAAAGAAAGCTGAAATAAAATATAAATATTAGATGAGAAAGTTAAACTAAATGAGAATATTAAATAAAATGAAGCACTAAAATTACAAACTGGAAATAAATAAAAAAATTAAACCAAAATTAATACTGAAAATATAAAGATAATTTAAAATATATATAAAAAAAAACTATTATAGCATATATTAAAAAAAAAACTAAACTAACACTGTCGTCTAACATTAAATATAATTAATAATTAGCTTTTCATCAACTCCCATTTAGGAATCCCTACTTTAGGCTAAGATTAAATTTCAACCGAAACGCGCATAACTCCCTGCTGTTTCAGATCATTCCTGTGGAGAGGCTCGTCAAGGGCAGGTTTCAGGACAACTTCGAGTTCCTTCAGTGGTTTAAGAAGTTCTTCGACGCCAACTACGACGGAAAAGAGTACGACCCTCAGTTAGCGCGACAGGGCCACGACGTCACGCCACTGCCCCCCCCCAACCCAGGTGAAGTCATTTCCCACAAAACCAAGAGCCCTCAGAAAGCAGCAGGTAACACACACACACACAGAGAGAGACAGACACACACACACACAGAGAGACACACACAGAGAGACAGACACACACACACACAGAGACAGACACACACACACACACAGAGAGAGACACAGACACACACACACACACTCACACACAGAGAGAGACAGACAGACAG